TGCATTGCAGACAGATTCTTGACCATCTGAGCCACCAGGGAAGCCCAGGAAATAGATCGACCGAAATCCTATTAATCAGGACAGGTGCCATTAGAGAGAAAATAACCTACTAGATTAATTTAGTTTTATTATTGCGATTCTCCTTGGGCATCAAAAATAGGTTACTTCTGGAGAAACTGACAAATCTGTGATTTAGCTCTGAATGCTCAATTGTATGCCATCTTTTTCACTCTTCTCTTACACTTTCATCAATAGGCTGTTTAGTTCCAACTCCTGGAGGCATTTCTTATTCCCCTTTCTGTCTTTTCTCCCTCATAAGGGGACCCATTTATATCTTTAACAACATAGTTTAACAACAGGTTCTTTCAATATATTCTATACTTTTCCGTCATATATATATTTGTAACTGATCCATCCTTCAGTTCACTGATCCTCTGTTCAGCTATTTCTAATTTGATGTTAATCCCAGAGACTGAGTTCTTAAATTCCGTCACTGTTTTTTTTTATAGTTGTAGCATCCGTTTTGATTCTCAGAAATTTTTTCTTTGGTCAAGTATATTTTTTGAACTGGTGACATTTGCAATTGATACATCTAGCATACCTCTGATATGCTGATATGCATCTGATCCCTCTGGATCTGTTTCAGTTCTTTTTCTGTTGGTCCTGTTTGTTGTTACACCCTTTTTTGGTTTGTTGTTTGCATGTTGGGTACTACGTTTGGAAAGCCCTAGAGGTGCTGAGTGATGCTGTCTTCTCCAGGCTTTCCTCTGACGTAGACCTCTCGTGGGGACAGAGCTCTGTGTTCGCTCAGGGCCTGAGTGACTTGAGGCTAGGGGGTCCTTGTGAGCTGAGTCTCAGCAGCCTTCACCCACTTTCCCCGCCCCCCTCACCCGACCCCAGGGAGGAGCCCTCCAGCATCTCCATCTGGAAGCCTGGGGTGCCTCCCAGGGCCCCTCCTTTTAGGCAGGTCCTGAATCCCACCGTCCACCTCCTGAAGACCACGAGGTGATTGATACTCAGTGCTCAGCCAGTTTGGGCAGGGTGTTGGGTACGTTTTCTGTGCCTAACTTTTCTTAGGGAGACTGGTCTCTACCATCAGGACTGACTTGTCAGGCCTACGCTCATATGTTTGTCTTCCCAGTCCGAGGAGCTGTCCAGAGCTGTGTCAGCCAGTCCCCTCTGCTGGACGTTCCCCCGCCTTTTCTTTGCAGAGTCAGCTTTGTTCAGATGTCCCGGGGGAAGGAGCGGCCTCTCAGTCTCCAGCTGCCTCACTGGGCTTCCCTTTTGCTTGAGATCTTGGATTGTGGCTGCCTGAGGACCTCTTTTAAAATGTATTTAGCTTTTCTAGCTCTGGGTAGGCTGACCTACAAGCTGCTTGCGTTTGTAACTGGACGTGGGGAAGCTCTGGGTGTCTTCTCTCATCTGAAGCCACATGTAAGCATCACACTAATTATACTGATCATCTTTATTTGATACCGGGAAAACAAGAGGCAGGGGTCCTTGCTTAGTACCCACGGTTGTGTTTCGGATCAGAATCCCCAGCTTGCCCATGCTCTTTCAGTGCCACTTGAATTTGGGAAGAAGGTGGAGCAAGCAGCCCACGCAGCCTGGGGACGGAAGAGCCGGTGTGCCTGCTTCCCCTGCGCCTGCCAGCCCAGGGCAGGCCTTGCGATGACGGGCTGCTGGTGGTGGAGGAGAAGCTGAGGAGAGCGGGGCTGCGTGACCTGTTGTGTGATGGGGTCACCTGTGGGTTTTCTTTTTCAGTTTGAAAAATGACTGCTTTTAATCTTCCCTCCAGTTTCATTTTAAGGTTGAAAATGAAGATTTTATTCTTCAAGTTGAGCACAGTGATTTTACAGTCTTTTTGAAAGCCACAGTTGAGGTTTTCAAAAGACGTCTCAGAGAACTGCAGTAGATAAAGCAAAAAAAAAAAAAAAAGAGACCGTGTTCAGGGTGCACTGCGGGTGGGACCCCAAACTGTACCCTGTCTCCCCAGAGTCTGTCATTGCTGAGATAGGCGGATATAGGACCTCAAGCACCCCGGGGACTGAGTCCTCAAGTGACCGCAGAGGACCAGGCTGAGCCAGGAGCAGTGTGGGCTATGCCCTGGTGTGTGGAGAGCCGCGAGGCTGGGAGTGGGGTCAGGAGAGGGGGTGGGAGACTTGCGCGTGGAGGGCGGGGCAGCCCCTGGAGGGATCTGGGAGGTGCTGGCTGTCACGGCTTGAGGCAGGGCCACCCCTGAACCTGCACCATGCAGTCCCCATGGGGCCGAGTCGTCTGGCGGCGCAGGGTTGAAGTTAAGAAGGTGAGCTCACAGCAGGTTGAATGAACCCCTGTCCCCACTCTGGGTTCATTGTAAGCGCCCAGAGCAAGGTTGGTCAAGCCCTTGCTGAGCTCAAGTGAGGGAGCCAGTCAGGGAGGACCAAGCTCAGGGTGAGAGTGAGGGGAAGCCAGTGCGGGGAGTCCTCCTCAGCCATGTGGGTTCTGGGCACACCCTTGAGTTCAGGGGTGCCCTTTCAGTAGCCTCACTGCAGGCTTGTTTCGGGGGTGGAAGAAGCAGAAGCCCACTTAGAAGACGTGCTCATCCCTAGCGGTGGTGGTTTCTGAAGCAGTTTATACTGTTCGGTTTGACTGTGACCCAGTGACCTTGCAGGGTGACATTTGATGGTGGGCCTGAGCTGTGGGCACGGCCTTCCTTCTCCCGCACCCAACACACACCTGCCATGTTTTTGGCAGCCCCTCCCCACTCTCTGCACCCTTGATGGTGGGCCGGAGCCCAGCCCCCCTGTTACCATGGAGCCCTTTGTGACAGAGTGGCTTTCATGATCCGGGCTCCCGGGTGACGTGCTGGAGGCAGAGCCTTCGTGTCATTTCTTCTTGAGATAGCGGAGCTGGTGGTCATAGTGTGAGAGCAGTGTGAGAGTGGTGTGTGTGAGAGTGGTGTGTGTGAGAGTGGTGTGTGTGAGAGCGGTGTGTGAGAGCAGTGGTCATAGTGTGAGATCGGTAGTGATACCTCAGGCACTTAGGGATCTGCCTGAGAAACAGCAGGTGCCCCCAAGTGGGGGGCTGCCCCCATCCGCGAGGATGGGTCGCAGAAGGGCCATCCTATGGGCACTTTTCCCATGCTGCAACCCCAAGAAAAAGGCCAAGACAAGAAATAAGTTGGCCTCATCCCAAGTCGTGGAAGCAGAGTGCCCGGAGGTGAGAGCAGCCGGGGGATGGGCCCGTCGGGTTGGCCCTCACCCGGCAAAGAGTTGGGGTTGTGTTTTACTTTGTTCGCATGCTCGTGGGCCCTGCCGGCCAAGGCGTTCTGGCCTCCTGGGCAGGATGGACCCCAGCAGGTTGACCTTGTAAGAGGCCGTGCAGATGCTGCGTGGACAATGGGCGGGGGCCCCACAGGAAGGGGAACAGGGGCTGGAGGAGTCACTGGGGCACGTGGACTGAGCTCTAGAGTCGGTCCTTGGAGCGGAAAGGAAAGGCTAAGCCCCTTAAAGTCTCTCTTCTTCCAAACAAGGGATCCACTGGCTGGAGGAGTCTCTGGGGCGTGTGGGTCGAGCTAGAGAGTCAGTCCTTGGAGCAGAAAGGCTGAGCCCCTTAACGTCTGCCATCGTCCAAAGCCCAGAGCAGTGCGCCCGGTGTTCTAATGACGGGTGCCTACTGCTCCTGTGTATGACACACACCCTCACAGCCTCACATGTCTACTACATGCCTCTTACAAAGTGCTGGGCAGTGCTCTAGGTGCTGAATACTTAGTATGTAGTAGGGGAGACATAGCCCAGGATTTTTGTATTTGTGCAAAGAACAATAGAAGAATGAAAGAGTCCGTGTGGTTCGGTTTGAGCAAGTTCACCACGTGGACGGCCCCGCGTATGTGCATATTGTGATAAAATACATATAACATGAATTTACCATTTTAAGCAGTTCGTTGAATGACTGGGTGACTTCAGTGGAGTCAGGCTAACAGACGGCCTTGGGGTGCCATCAGCCTCTTTCCCAGAGGAACACTCCAAAGCCTGGTGGCCTTGAAGACCTTACCTTTCTTCTTCACTCTCCCCAGGGGCTCTCGGTCACTTGTCTGTGTGTCGTTTAAGAATCTCTTTATCCACTTTGTTCTTAAGTGTATGTTTAGGAAAGTCTCTCAGACTTCCCTGCGTCTTGAGAAGGCAGGCTTGGATTCCGGGTTCTCCCCTACCGCACAGGCTTGGATTCCGGGTTCTCCCCTGCCACGTGCCTGCCAGGTCGAGGTGGAGGCTGCAGGCCAGTCTGAGTTGTAGGGGTCTGTGTGGTCTTGGGGTCAGTGGGCCCCCTCTTCTCCGGAGGGGCAGGGAGATCCTTTGAGTGGAGCCTGGAGAGACTGGACAGTGTCAGTCTTCAGAGTCTCACTCTCTTTAACATTTGTGTTTGCATTTATTTACTTCCTCATTGACCTGTTTTCTAGGAGTTGGCATGTCGACAGCTAAAAGCATGCAGGGAGCAGCTTCTTAGAAGGGAAGCAGAAATCTCGGAACTAAAAGCAGAAAGGAACAACACCAGGGTCAGTAGGCGGAGTCTCACGTGTTGACCTGTGCCCCGCAGGGGTCACCGCTGGTCTCCATGTTGCTGTCTTGAAAGTCTGGTTTTCAAGTCATTTTTCACATCCTCCCACTGAGCAGACCGAGGTGGATCAGTTCGGGTTTCTCACACCTTGCTTCAAATTGATGATGAAAGCTAATGTAATTTTAGTACATTTGAGGGGAGAGTTCTCTTAGCTTCCATTTTTGTCCATGCTGCAGTTTGTGTGGGATCTTAGTTCCCACACAGGGATTAAAACCCATGAGCCCTGCAGAAGTGTGGAGTGTTAACTCCTGGGCCACTGGGGAAGTCCACTCTAACTTTAGACTGAACTGGCGGGATTCCGACATGCCTTAGCATGGTTTCGGTCTTAGCGTGAGGCTGAGAGGCGTTCTGGGCCCTGAATTCAAGTGTGAGGTTGAAGGTGCTCCTTTGGCCCCACCTTGCAGCTGCTGCTGGAACACCTGGAGCTCCTGGTTTCCCGGTACGTGCCGTCCCTCCAGATGACGGTGGAGAGGCATCAGGCGCGGTCCCCAGCCAGCATGACCAGCGAGTTGGAGGTCCTCAGGGCACTGAGATTGCTCTTCGAGCACCACAAGGCCCTGGACGAGAAGGTACCAGCCACGCGGCCGTCCTGGATTTGTACACTTGCTGCCTGGTTAGGTGGACGATGCGTGTGTTTATGGAACTAGTTGACTTTTGAGCTTCTTGAATTCTTGTAAATACAGTTTTTCCGTAAGAACTCAGAGTTTTATATGGTTAAAAAGCGTTGCCTGTGTACATGCTCAGACATGTCTGAGTTTTGCGACCCTGTGGACCATAGACTACCATGCTCCTCTCTTCATGGGGCTTCCCAGGCAAGAATACTAGAGTGGGTGGCCATCTTCTACTCCAGGGGATCTTCCCAACCCAGGGATCGAACCTGCCCTCTCACACTGGCAGGCAGATTCTTTCTCACTGAGCCTCCTGGGAAGCCCCCAGTTAAAAAGTATTAGTTGGCATAAATGTCTCAAGATTTATTTTATTCTGTTTGTCAATTTGCAATTAAAAACTGGGTAATACAGTTCTTTTAGGATAAATTCTGAAACTTAGAGTTTAAAGCCGTTAGTAAGCAGATTTTCTTCACCTTAAGGTCAATGAGAGACATTAAAGGTGTTCTGTTACAGTAACCATGCAATCATGTGAGGGTACAATAAGAAGTGCACTAACGTATGTACACAGATCAACACACAGTGATTCGGCCCCTTTTATTTCAGTTGAGAGAGGAACTACGACGAACACTTCAAAGGTGTAGTTCCTTAGAAGAGGAATTAAGTACCAAACACAGAGAGGTAAGTTTGATCAGTCATCGTGTAATTTCAGTTAAGGATTCGTCATTTGTATACTTTCATTTTCACAAAGTATGAAGGCTGTGGTGGTGGACATCAGATGTTATTTATCTTTGAAAAGGGGCGCAAGGGCCTGAGGAATAACCCCAGGGAGGGCCGGGCCTAGAGCCAGGGAGAGACATGTTGGAGGGCGGCGGGCTGGGCAAGGACGGGAGTGGGCTTGGTGACATGGGCTCCTCCAGCTCCCAGGGAGCTGCCCGGTAGGGCAGGGCACAGCGCCTGCTTGCAGAGAGCTGGAGAGCAGGTGGGACAGGGACAGCAGAGGCCGCTCCCAGGCAGCCCTCAGAGACCCCCAGTGGGCATTGCAGGGAGCCCTGGAGGAGGAGTCCGCTGGTTCCTGTTGAGGCATCGGAAGGTGGGAGAAGCGAGAGGATGTGCTGACCGGGCTGATGGGGGTGAACCCATAGGCAGCTGGTGCGCTGGAGGGGAGCAGGGATGATGGCAGGTGGTCCTGCAGCCAGTGAAGGGGGTGGCCCAGCCCTGGGGAGGGGTCGTGAGGAAGACGGGGTGAGGGCTCTGGCCACGGGACTGGTAGCTGGCAGCCAGCACCTCGAGGCTGCCCCTCGGTTGCTTTGAGGTCCTGTCTGGGAAAGAAGGCAGGACCTGGGTTGAGAGTCGGACAGGGGGGAGATTTGCAGAGAGAAGGGTGTGAGAGCAGGAGGGCGGCACGGGGCCCAGCAGGCACTCTCCCGTGCGTCTCTGATGGCACAGCCGCCCTTGCGGTGCGAGGGGCTCTCCCCCAGAAGAGGCCGAGTGCCTGTGCCCCGAGAGGACAGCCGCGGGGGCTGGCCCTCCAGTCCCCTGGCTGCCCTGCTCGCTCCTGTTTGTGAGTGTGCAGATCAGCCTGGAACACGTAGGGCTGGGAACCTGTGAGGATGGCACTCCTCGGGGAACTAGTACAAGTGATGACCGCTGAGGCAGACCTATTGGCTACGGAGCTGAAGGATTTTTTCTTTCATGTTTTCCTTCAGCCTGCCTGCTGGAGGCATGGATGTATGTTTTTAATTTTGCGTTTTTGTTTCTGACTCCATCGGCCCACCCTTTTGAATAACCTCATAGGATTTCCTTCCGTCCACGCTAAGAACTGAGAGTGACCAGGACATCTAGGAACTGGATTCTCCTCCTGCCCGTTTCTTCAGTACTGCTCGCTTAAGAGATGGCAGTGTCTCCTAAGCATGGCCGCTTATCCAAAGTCGGGCTTCCATGTAAAATTGTGTTCGGTTCCTGATAGACGTGAGCTGTCCTAAATGTCGCTGACAGGGCGTGGTCCTCTCATGCCCAGGTGCAGAGCCAGAGGGAGCAGGGCTGGGAGTCCGCAAAGCAGGCCCGCGTGGTGGCCACCGTGGCCGAGGACTTCGAGACTGACGAGGATGTGCCTGATGGCGAAGGTGATGGGCCCACCCTCTTCAGTTCGGCCGGTCAGCTGCCGCCCAGTGGGCAGGCCGATGCCGACACTCTGCCTGTGATGCCTCGGGAGCAGCTGGACAGCATCAGTGAGGAGACCCGGTGGGTGTGCCCGAACTCGGCTCCCCAGAAACTGGGCTTCTCTGAGGAGCTGTCTTCTCCTACGAGAAGTCTTGAGTGTTCCATAGTGAGAAAACTGACTTCAGGCCTGCTTCAAGGATTTTCAGTTCCCAGACCACCCTTGATGAGAGAGCTCAGACAGGCAGGCCGTTCTGTCCACAGCTGGAGTCAGCACTCTGTGGGGGGGCTTTGTGGGGTGTCCCCCCCCAGCTCTGAGCCCCAAGGTGGGTGAGGTGCCGACGCAGTGTCCTCTGCGTCCCGTGTGCCCTCCAGCACTGAGAGTTCACCCTCCCGTGTCCATCGGAGACTCCCACGTTCTGGTGAAAAGCTACCTGGAACAGAAAAGCAGGGGTTTGGGGGTTGGCAAATTCCCATTCAGATCTGCATTGTCCTTTTCAAGTTAATACAGTGTGAAGATTGGCTTGTTGTAAGACAGTGGTCCAAGGACATATGTTTGAGTTTCTCTCATCTCAGGATATTTCAGATGTTTTCTTTAGACACCGTCTTGGCAGTTGTAGCAGTTTACAACACGGGATAGAAGGCAAAGGCCCGCCTCGTGGTGAGCAGCGGGCCTTGGGTCTGGGTGCAGCCGGGTGTCCGGGGGCCCCGAGGCCTGCCTGGGCCACACCCGCACAGCTACGCCCCTGTCCCGGGTCCACGTCCAGAGTGGCCGCAGGCCGGTGACCCTGTGCAGGACCAGGCAGAGCTGCTGCTCAGATTGTTCTCGTCACGTCAGCCCAGGCCGAGGTGCCCGTGCCTGCGGGCCGAGCACGCGGGGCTCGGGGGAAAGTCAGGGGTGAACGGCACACCCAGCAAACGCAGGTGGTGCCGCCTGCACTTTTGACGCCGAGACAGACTGCTTCCTGGGCCCTGTTTCAGCTCAGACGAGCTCAGAAAGATGGGCTTTCCCCATCCCCGCAGGAACGATGGAACGGTTCCATGTTAGTATTTTTATTTGAACAGCAAGTTGTCAGGTAAAGTGAATTTTCCTTAGGCAGTAAGTTGACTTGTTATAAATGGCAAATCCTGTCCATCAGCTTGCTATCACCAGTGAAAAACTTTCAGGACTTATAGGTAGAAGTGAAGCTGGAGAGGTTATGACCTGCAAGAATCCTGTATTTTATTTTGGAAGTCATTTTATATGCATCATCGAGTATTTCAACTGCTATTTAAAATCCTCCACTACACATTAGGGCAGAAGAGCAGTAAGGGTGAATTCTATGTCAATGCGGCACATTGACATGAATCCAGAGACTCGCACAAAGCTGGTGGAGAACTTCATCAAGTGATGCGTTTGTACATATGCAACCGTAAGAAAAGAAAAATCCCCTCAGCACTTCATCTGGTCTGGGGACTTTTGTTTAGAAACTCCAGCTTGTTCATGAATCGCTGTTTTGGTTATAGAGAGTTCCCGATTTGCAGTGGCAAAGACTTGAGGCCCTGACGTGCACCTCTGCCCTGAGAGCAGGGAAGGTGAAGGTTGTCAACTTCAGGTATCTCCTCACAGGGAGAGAGTCGCCACTCGGGCCCCATCAGAATGTTAGCATAAAGGAGTCAAATCAAACGTGAATGACCAGGGGCCAGTTTGTAAGACTCAGTGCTCAGTTATTCCAAGTTTGAGAATATTCAAAAGAGGGAAAGTCGAACCTTTTAGCCGAGATGTGAAATGAGCAGATGTTCCCGGAATTGGCTCATCGCGACACAGAATGCCAGCCCAAATTTGCTGTCCAGACAGGTTCCTGTGCTGACAGAGGCAGCTGACGAGTTTTTCTCTCCTTTAGGTGGATCCAAGAGGAAGAGAGCACGGAGCAGCGGGCCGAGGAGACTGAGAGCAGGGCGGGCAGGGCGCGCTTAGGCAGCCTTCGGCGTTTTGAGTCCCTGAGCTCCCTCAACCTGTGTCCTGCCTCCTCACTTGCCAGCTCCTGCCCGCCCAGCAGGGCGCCCTCCCCACCCCGAAGGAGGCGGCGCAGCCTGGCGCACGAGGGAGACCGGCTGGGCATCATGACTGCGGTATGTGTCTGCCTCCTCCCTGCCACATCCCTCCCCGAGCACACTGTTTTTCTTTCTTTGTTTTTTCTCTTTATCCCCAGAGGAAAATCAGGTACATTTACTATGCTCAGAGGGCTAAGAGTTTTAAAACTGCCTGGTCTTTAATCATTCCATAATGGCACAGGGACCAATTAGTGTTGATATTTGGACCACCGGCTTAGCGGGCCATCATGAACTCAGCCAGAGCCTGCCTCTGGAACGGTGGGCCTGGCCTGTGCTGGGCACGACAGCGGCAGGGAAGTTCCTGTCGTCAGGGAGCAGACAGCCTCGTGAAAGTTACCACAGGCAGCCCTCTTGGCGAGTGAAAGGCGGGCAGCTCATGTTCCACCGGGGTCGCCTGGCTGCAGGGTGCAGGGCATGCGGTGGCAACAAAACCAAGAATCTGAACTGGTCCGCTTGCTGATGGGCCTTGCCGCACGCGCTCAGGCCAGCTGTGCGCGTGAAACCAGTTAAAGGCCCGGGGCCCCAGGGCCCCAGGGAAGAAGTCGGGCTGCCTCACTCTTCCGCGTCTCAACACGGGATGACGACCTAGGGCTTCTGGTGACAGAGTGTGCGGCTCTAAAGCACATGTGCCAGCTTTCTTGCCTGTGTAGCCTAGTTTTCTGAGTGCATTGCTGTTTACCCCATGAATCTCGTGTACAACACTCTGCCTTGAAACTGCACCTGTATTATCCCTTTCTTCTGTTCCCACCCATTTCATGTTAGCTGCGTTGTTAGCATAGAATTAAAATAAACGTGGGTCATTTTAGCTGCATGTGAACTGGTACCTGGTCCATTTTGTGGTCTTTTGACACACTGCTTTTATAATTTGTATCATTGTCTAAGTCGTTGATATTTAAAATTCTTGGCGATTTCTCTGTGGCTTCATGCTTGATTTCTTTCGGAGTGTTTGTGAAAGAACAGTCCTGAATAATTTTTCCTTGTGGAGTTTTCTGACGGTGTGCCTGCTTTCATCATTGGTTTTGATTTCCTGACTCATCGTGTTGTCTGTTTAGCCGTCATCAATCCAGACCCCAGCCTCCCATCCCCCCCACCAGAGGCTGTACTTCACACATCCATCTCCCCTCCCCATCCTCCCACTCGCTCTGGTCATATCAGTGCTGTGTCCCGTTAGTCTGGTTTGTGGTTTGTCTTCGTGTCTCATTGAATGGTGTTTTTCCTGCATAGCAGTAAGTTAGAGTTAGTGCACCACTATACAGTTAAAATCATAATGTAGATGGATCATACGCTGTATAGACAGCAGATGCCTCTCCCAGGCAGCCTTCAGAGACCCCCAGTGGGCACTGCAGAGTGCCCTGGAGGAGGAGTCTGCTGGTTCCCGTTGTGCCATTTGAAGGCGAGAGAAGCGAGAGGATGTGCTGACCGGGCTGCTAGGGGTGAACCCATAGGCAGCTGGTGCGCTGGAGGGGAGCAGGGATGGTGGCAGGTGGACTTGCTGCCAGCGAAGGGGGTAGCCCTGCCCTGGGGAGGGGTTGTGAGGAAGTCAGGGGGCGAGGGCTCTGGCCACGGGGGCCAGGTAGCCGGCAGCCAGCACCTCGAGGCTGCCCCTCGGTTGCTTTGAGGTCATGTGTGGGAAAGAAGGCAGGACCTGGGTTGAGAGTCGGACAGGGGGGAGATTTGCAGAGAGAAGGGTGTGAGATGTGAGAGCGGGAGTGTGGCACAGGGCCCAGCAGGCACTCTCCCGTGCGTCTCTGATGGCAGAGCCGCCCTTGCGGTGCGAGGGGCTATCCCCCAGCAGAGCCCGAGTGCCTGTGCCCCGAGAGGACAGCCGCGGAGGGCTGGCCCTCCAGTTCCCTGGCTGCCCCTGCTCGCTCCTCTCTCTGCGTGTTCGGGCCAGCCTGGAACACGTAGGGCTGGGAACCTGTGAGGACGGCACTCCTCGGGGAACTAGTACAAGTGACGACCGCTGAGGCGGACCCAGCGGCTTTGGAGCAGAAGGATTTTTTTCCTTCTTATTTTCCTTCAGCCTGCCTGATGGAGGCATGGATGTATGTTTGCAATTTTGCGTTTTTGTCCCTGACTCCGTCAGCGCACTCTTGTGAATTACCTGATAGGCTTGCCTTCCGTCCATGCTGACCTGAGTGTCAGCAGGCCATCTAGGAACTGGATTCTCCTCCTGCCCATTTCTTCAGTACTGCTCGCTTAAGAGATGGCAGTGTCTCATAGGCATGGCTGTTTATCCAAAGTCGGGCTTCCATGTAAAATTGTGTTCGGTTCCTGATAGACGTGAGCTGTCCTGAATGTCGCTGACCAGCCGTGGTCCTCTCATGCCCAGGTGCAGAGCCAGAGGGATCAGGACTGGGAGTCCGCACAGCAGACCCGCGTGGTGGCCACCATGGCCCAGGACTTCGAGAGTGACGAGGATGTGTCTGACGGCGAGGGCGACAGGGTCACCCTCTTCAGCTCGGCCGGTCAGCTGCCGCCCAGTGGGCAGGCCGATGCCGACACTCTGCCTGTGATGCCTCGGGAGCAGCTGGACACCATCAGTGAGGAGACCCGGTGGGTGTGCCCGAACTCGGCTCCCCAGAAACTGGGCTTCTCTGAGGAGCTGTCTTCTCCTACGAGAAGTCTTGAGTCTTCCATAGTGAGAAAACTGACTTCAGGCCTGCTTCAAGGATTTTCAGCTCTCAGACCACCCTTGATGAGAGAGCTCAGACAGGCAGGCCGTTCTGTCCACAGCTGGTGTCAGCACTCTGTGGGGGGGCTTTGTGGGGTGTCCCCCCCCAGCTCTGAGCCCCAAGGTGGGTGAGGTGCCGACGCAGTGTCCTCTGCGTCCCGTGTGCCCTCCAGCACTGAGAGTTCACCCTCCCGTGTCCATCGGAGACTCCCACGTTCTGGTGAAAAGCTACCTGGAACAGAAAAGCAGGGGTTTGGGGGTTGGCAAATTCCCATTCAGATCTGCATTGTCCTTTTCAAGTTAATACAGTGTGAAGATTGGCTTGTTGTAAGACAGTGGTCCAAGGACATATGTTTGAGTTTCTCTCATCTCATCAGGATATTTCAGATGTTTTCTTTAGACACCGTCTTGGCAGTTGTAACAGTTTACAACACGGGATAGAAGGCAAAGGCCCGCCTCGTGGTGAGCAGCGGGCCTTGGGTCTGGGTGCAGCCGGGTGTCCGGGGGCCCCGAGGCCTGCCTGGGCCACACCCGCACAGCTACGCCCCTGTCCCGGGTCCACGTCCAGAGTGGCCGCAGGCCGGTGACCCTGTGCAGGACCAGGCAGAGCTGCTGCTCAGATTGTTCTCGTCACGTCAGCCCAGGCCGAGGTGCCCGTGCCTGCGGGCCGAGCACGCGGGGCTCGGGGGAAAGTCAGGGGTGAACGGCACACCCAGCAAACGCAGGTGGTGCCGCCTGCACTTTTGACGCCGAGACAGACTGCTTCCTGGGCCCTGTTTCAGCTCAGACGAGCTCAGAAAGATGGGCTTTCCCCATCCCCGCAGGAACGATGGAACGGTTCCATGTTAGTATTTTTATTTGAACAGCAAGTTGTCAGGTAAAGTGAATTTTCCTTAGGCAGTAAGTTGACTTGTTATAAATGGCAAATCCTGTCCATCAGCTTGCTATCACCAGTGAAAAACTTTCAGGACTTATAGGTAGAAGTGAAGCTGGAGAGGTTATGACCTGCAAGAATCCTGTATTTTATTTTGGAAGTCATTTTATATGCATCATCGAGTATTTCAACTGCTATTTAAAATCCTCCACTACACATTAGGGCAGAAGAGCAGTAAGGGTGAATTCTATGTCAATGCGGCACATTGACATGAATCCAGAGACTCGCACAAAGCTGGTGGAGAACTTCATCAAGTGATGCGTTTGTACATATGCAACCGTAAGAAAAGAAAAATCCCCTCAGCACTTCATCTGGTCTGGGGACTTTTGTTTAGAAACTCCAGCTTGTTCATGAATCGCTGTTTTGGTTATAGAGAGTTCCCGATTTGCAGTGGCAAAGACTTGAGGCCCTGACGTGCACCTCTGCCCTGAGAGCAGGGAAGGTGAAGGTTGTCAACTTCAGGTATCTCCTCACAGGGAGAGAGTCGCCACTCGGGCCCCATCAGAATGTTAGCATAAAGGAGTCAAATCAAACGTGAATGACCAGGGGCCAGTTTGTAAGACTCAGTGCTCAGTTATTCCAAGTTTGAGAATATTCAAAAGAGGGAAAGTCGAACCTTTTAGCCGAGATGTGAAATGAGCAGATGTTCCCGGAATTGGCTCATCGCGACACAGAATGCCAGCCCAAATTTGCTGTCCAGACAGGTTCCTGTGCTGACAGAGGCAGCTGACGAGTTTTTCTCTCCTTTAGGTGGATCCAAGAGGAAGAGAGCACGGAGCAGCGGGCCGAGGAGACTGAGAGCAGGGCGGGCAGGGCGCGCTTAGGCAGCCTTCGGCGTTTTGAGTCCCTGAGCTCCCTCAACCTGTGTCCTGCCTCCTCACTTGCCAGCTCCTGCCCGCCCAGCAGGGCGCCCTCCCCACCCCGAAGGAGGCGGCGCAGCCTGGCGCACGAGGGAGACCGGCTGGGCATCATGACTGCGGTATGTGTCTGCCTCCTCCCTGCCACATCCCTCCCCGAGCACACTGTTTTTCTTTCTTTGTTTTTTCTCTTTATCCCCAGAGGAAAATCAGGTACATTTACTATGCTCAGAGGGCTAAGAGTTTTAAAACTGCCTGGTCTTTAATCATTCCATAATGGCACAGGGACCAATTAGTGTTGATATTTGGACCACCGGCTTAGCGGGCCATCATGAACTCAGCCAGAGCCTGCCTCTGGAACGGTGGGCCTGGCCTGTGCTGGGCACGACAGCGGCAGGGAAGTTCCTGTCGTCAGGGAGCAGACAGCCTCGTGAAAGTTACCACAGGCAGCCCTCTTGGCGAGTGAAAGGCGGGCAGCTCATGTTCCACCGGGGTCGCCTGGCTGCAGGGTGCAGGGCATGCGGTGGCAACAAAACCAAGAATCTGAACTGGTCCGCTTGCTGATGGGCCTTGCCGCACGCGCTCAGGCCAGCTGTGCGCGTGAAACCAGTTAAAGGCCCGGGGCCCCAGGGCCCCAGGGAAGAAGTCGGGCTGCCTCACTCTTCCGCGTCTCAACACGGGATGACGACCTAGGGCTTCTGGTGACAGAGTGTGCGGCTCTAAAGCACATGTGCCAGCTTTCTTGCCTGTGTAGCCTAGTTTCCTGAGTGCATTGCTGTTTACCCCATGAATCTCGTGTACAACACTCTGCCTTGAAACTGCACCTGTATTATCCCTTTCTTCTGTTCCCACCCATTTCATGTTAGCTGCGTTGTTAGCATAGAATTAAAATAAATGTGGGTCATTTTAGCTGCATGTGAAGTGGTACCTGGTCCATTTTGTGGTCTTTTGACACACTGCTTTTATAATTTGTATCATTGTCTAAGTCGTTGATATTTAAAATTCTTGGCGATTTCTCTGTGGCTTCATGCTTGATTTCTTTCGGAGTGTTTGTGAAAGAACAGTCCTGAATAATTTTTCCTTGTGGAGTTTTCTGACGGTGTGCCTGCTTTCATCATTGGTTTTGATTTCCTGACTCATCGTGTTGTCTGTTTAGCCGTCATCAATCCAGACCCCAGCCTCCCATCCCCCCCACCAGAGGCTGTACTTCACACATCCATCTCCCCTCCCCATCCTCCCACTCGCTCTGGTCATATCAGTGCTGTGTCCCGTTAGTCTGGTTTGTGGTTTGTCTTCGTGTCTCATTGAATGGTGTTTTTCCTGCATAGCAGTAAGTTAGAGTTAGTGCACCACTATACAGTTAAAATCATAATGTAGATGGATCATACGCTGTATAGACAGCAGATGCCTCTCCCAGGCAGCCTTCAGAGACCCCCAGTGGGCACTGCAGAGTGCCCTGGAGGAGGAGTCTGCTGGTTCCCGTTGTGCCATTTGAAGGCGAGAGAAGCGAGAGGATGTGCTGACCGGGCTGCTAGGGGTGAACCCATAGGCAGCTGGTGCGCTGGAGGGGAGCAGGGATGGTGGCAGGTGGACTTGCTGCCAGCGAAGGGGGTAGCCCAGCCCTGGGGAGGGGTTGTGAGGAAGTCAGGGGGCGAGGGCTCTGGCCACGGGGGCCAGGTAGCCGGCAGCCAGCACCTCGAGGCTGCCCCTCAGTTGCTTTGAGGTCATGTGTGGGAAAGAAGGCAGGACCTGGGTTGAGAGTCGGACAGGGGGGAGATTTGCAGAGAGAAGGGTGTGAGATGTGAGAGCGGGAGTGTGGCACAGGGCCCAGCAGGCACTCTCCCGTGCGTCTCTGATGGCAGAGCCGCCCTTGCGGTGCGAGGGGCTATCCCCCAGCAGAGCCCGAGTGCCTGTGCCCCGAGAGGACAGCCGCGGAGGGCTGGCCCTCCAGTTCCCTGGCTGCCCCTGCTCGCTCCTCTCTCTGCGTGTTCGGGCCAGCCTGGAACACGTAGGGCTGGGAACCTGTGAGGACGGCACTCCTCGGGGAACTAGTACAAGTGACGACCGCTGAGGCGGACCCAGTGGCTTTGGAGCAGAAGGATTTTTTTCCTTCTTATTTTCCTTCAGCCTGCCTGATGGAGGCATGGATGTATGTTTGCAATTTTGCGTTTTTGTCCCTGACTCCGTCAGCGCACTCTTGTGAATTACCTGATAGGCTTGCCTTCCGTCCATGCTGACCTGAGTGTCAGCAGGCCATCTAGGAACTGGATTCTCCTCCTGCCCATTTCTTCAGTACTGCTCGCTTAAGAGATGGCAGTGTCTCATAGGCATGGCCGTTTATCCAAAGTCGGGCTTCCATGTAAAATTGTGTTCGGTTCCTGATAGACGTGAGCTGTCCTGAATGTCGCTGACCAGCCGTGGTCCTCTCATGCCCAGGTGCAGAGCCAGAGGGAGCAGGACTGGGAGTCCGCGCAGCAGACCCGCGTGGTGGCCACCATGGCCCAGGACTTCGAGAGTGACGAGGATGTGTCTGACGGCGAGGGCGACAGGGTCACCCTCTTCAGCTCGGCCGGTCAGCTGCCGCCCAGTGGGCAGGCCGATGCCGACACTCTGCCTGTGATGCCTCGGGAGCAGCTGGACACCATCAGTGAGGAGACCCGGTGGGTGTGCCCGAACTCGGCTCCCCAGAAACTGGGCTTCTCTGAGGAGCTGTCTTCTCCTACGAGAAGTCTTGAGTCTTCCATAGTGAGAAAACTGACTTCAGGCCTGCTTCAAGGATTTTCAGTTCTCAGACCACCCTTGATGAGAGAGCTCAGACAGGCAGGCCGTTCTGTCCACAGCTGGTGTCAGCACTCTGTGGGGGGGTTCTTGTGGGGTGTCCCCCCCCAGCTCTGAGCCCCAAGGTGGGTGAGGTGCCGACGCAGTGTCCTCTGCGTCCCGTGTGCCCTCCAGCACTGAGAGTTCACCCTCCCGTGTCCATCGGAGACTCCCACGTTCTGGTGAAAAGCTACCTGGAACAGAAAAGCAGGGGTTTGGGGGTTGGCAAATTCCCATTCAGATCTGCATTGTCCTTTTCAAGTTAATACAGTGTGAAGATTGGCTTGTTGTAAGACAGTGGCCCAAAACATGTGTTTGAGCTTTTTTCATCTCATCAGGATATTTAAGATATTTTTTTAGACACTGTCTTCTCAGTTGTAACAGTTTACAGCTCGAGATAGAAGGCAAAGGTCTGCCTGGTGATGAGCAGCAGGTCTTGGGTCTGGGTGTAGCTGGGTGTCCGGGGGCCCCGAGGCCTGCCTGGGCCACACCCGCACAGCTGAGCCCCTGTCCCGGTTCCACGTCCAGAGCGGTCACAGGCCGGTGACCATGTGCAGGAGCAGGCAGAGGTGCTGCTTAGATTGTTGTCTTCACGTCAGCCCAGGCCGAGATGCCCGGTCCTCAGTGCCGAGCACGTGGGGCTCGGGGGGAGGGTAGCCGAGAATGGCACAGCCAGCAAATGCAGGTGGTGCCACCTGCACTTTTGATGCCGAGACAGACTGCCTCCTTGGCCTTGTTTCAGCTCAGATTAGCTCAGAAAGATGGGCTTTCCCTGTCCCCGCAGGTAATATGGAACGGTTGCATATTAATATTTTTTTATTACAGCAAGTTTTCAGGTAAAGTGAATTTTCCTTAGGCAGTAAGTTGACTTCTTTTATGAATAGTAAATTGTGTCCATCAGCTTGCTATCACAAGTGAAAAACTTTCAAGACTTTTACGTAGAATGAAGCTGAAGAGGTTATGACCTGCAGGAATCCCGTGTTTTAATTTGGAAATCATTTTATAGGCATCATTGTGTATTTCAACTGCTATATAAAATCATCCACTACACATTAGGGGAGAAGAACAGTAAGCGTGAATTCTAGGTTAATGCGGCAGATTGACATGAATCCAGAAACTCACACACAGCTGGTGGAGAATTTCATCAAGTGATGTGTTGTTACACATACATCCTTAAAAAAGTAAAAATCCCCTCAGCACTTCATCTGGTCTGGGGAGTTTTGTTTAGAAACTCCAGCTTGTTTGTGAATCGCTGTGTTGGTTATAGAGAGTTCCCGATTCCCAGTGGAGAAGACTTGAGGCACTGACGTGCACCTCTGCCCTGAGAGCAGGGAAGGTTAAGGTTGTCAGCTTCAGGTATCTCCTCACAGGGAGAGAGTCGCCACACAGGCCCCGTCAGAATGTTAGCGTAAACGAGTCAAATCAAACGTGAATGACCAGGGGCCAGTTTGTAAGACTCAGTGCCAAGTTATTCCAAGTTTGAGAATATTCAAAAGAGGGAAAGTCGAACCTTTTAGCCGAGATGTGAAATGAGCAGATATTCCTGGAATTTGCTCATTGTGACACAGAATGCCAGCCCAAATTTGTTGTCCAGACACGATGCTGTGCTGACAAAGGCAGCTCACGAGTTTTGGTCTCTTTTAGGTGGCTCCAGGAGGAAAGGGAGAGCATGGAGCAGCGGGCCGAGGAGACTGAGAGCAGGGTGGGCGGAGCACGCTTCTGCAGCCTTTGGCATTTTTTTTTGTCTGTTTGTTTGTTTTTTTTGGTCAGTGCATTTTATTTAATCAGCACAGTACAAAAATAAATAAAAATAAAGAGAAGGGAATTAAATTACAGCCAAACTGAGCTTTATGACCTTTTTAGATTATAAACCACACATACTTACAACCACGCTATGCATACATACAAAAATGAGACAAATATAAATTAATATTAACAATACCCACAGTTTGGTCAAAGAATAGCTACAGAAGAAATTGCACTAAAAAACCAGCATACGTCGCTCGTGTGTTATTAGCAGTTTCAAATATACAGCTAAGAATAGTTCCAAGTGGGCAAAAAAAATGGCACATTTCCTTTTCATTGCAAGTTTCACAACTGCTAGAACAAAACTAAGTTCTAATAACTGTATGGAAAGAATATATCAACCCTTCAGGTTTTACAAGAAAAAAGAGAAAAACCAAATTCTGAACTATTATTCCTGTGACTTGTTCTGTGCACGGGTGTAATTTTCACAGCCATCTGTTCTCAGATTATTTTTCTTAAGACACAAAATGCTCCTAGTTTGCATGCACAATATCACTGTAAAAGCAACAATTAAAGAATAAAGGGTGGGGTTTTTTTTGTAGGTTAGTTTTTTTCCCTTTTTTTAAAATTGTGCTCAAATTAGTCTTCGTAGCAGCATGTCGAACGGCTTCATTGCTTGCACACTCAAGTGTATCAGTCTCTTTACACAATGCTGATGACCAGTGCAGAGGAGCAGACCTCGCCAGGCTTCACATGGATGGAGCTAGAGAGTTCTTTCTTTAGTCCCCAACCATTCCTGAAATTTGCACCGCCTCCATAAATTAAAAAAATAAATATGGAGAGAGAGAAGGAAACACACAAAACTGCAATCCCGCGAGTGCGCCTTCCCTCAGTGTCAGGCCCGGCAAGGCCCACGAAGGAGCAACTCCAGACCCCTGGGTCCCGGCTCTTGACACTCGGCCCCCCAACAGCACCCCCCCCCAACCCTCCCGTGCTGCCGGGGCCCCGACGCCCCCACCGGCCGCCTACCTTGGGTCCCACACGGCAGCAGGATCTGCAGAGACAGGCTGTGTGACAACTCCCGCGGAGAAGAGGCGCTGCACGCGAGGTCCCCGCCAGGTTCCTTCCAGCCCTGCGGCAGGTAAATCTGGCCTGCGGTGCTGGGAGCAGCTCAGCATGAGCCTCGGGGCGCAGCTGAGGCCCATGCTCCCAGCTTGGGGCAGGCCCTCGTTCTCGCAAGCACCACGGGCCTGCAGGCTCGCTGCAGGGCCTATTAACTCCGGACCTCAGTTTCACAGCTCTCTCTTTTTTATGTGAATTTCAGTACTGCTTGTGCTGAAATGGCAGCCACCTGGAAGCTAATCCTATGTAAAACGGCCCCCTGCCTCCCCTTCCAGCCACCCTTGAAGGGGTTGAGACTGGAAGAGAGAATTCTCTGTGGGCCTTCACATCAGTCTTTGTTCCCCAAAGCCAGAGGGATTGCAGGTGGCTAGCTCCCTTCTCTGGGTCCTCTCCCAAGCCCCCAGCCACCGATCTGGGAGAATCAGAAAGAAAATTAAGCGACACATCATGGGCTTTTTCAGCCACTGGTGTTGAAGGTGGAGACCGAAACAAGCAGCTGCAAATGATCAGTGGCAGAATCAGCAGGCAGTCAGGAGTTGGGCTCCCAGCTCGTAATTGTCTCCAAGATCCAGCTGTCTCACTGGGCCTTTCGGGACAAGGCTTCGTCTTCAGGAGAGACTCAACTGTTTGGAAACAGCTTTAAATCAACGGGGTGAGGGGAGGGGTGCATCATTACCACATCACCCTGATCCCTGACATCACCCCCGCCCCAACCCCTGCAGCTCTGCAGGGCAAATGCCATGGACATTGGCAGGAGCCTGAGCCCTTAGGTGGGCACCAGCTCAGTCCCAGGCATGGCAGCCCCACCTTGCCCGGGAGGCAGGCTGTTGACAGTGGGCACCTGCAGCTGCCCTGGCCTTCGCCACGGGATGACTAAGCTGCATGATTCAAATGAAAAATTCACCCAAGAAAGGAGTTGTCCCTGGCATCACCCACCCCTTGGGAGCCGGGACCCAAAATGAAAGGACTTAGTGAGTCAAACCAGCTCATTAACCAACACTACCAACAGGGCTGGGGGTGGGGGACGAAGGAGGGGAGGTTTGGAGGAGGGGCTGTGGGGGCAGTTCCATGTCTCCACAAAGGAAAGCCCTTCTCCCGAAAAAAGAAGAAAGACCAAACCAGGGTCGTGCATGGCCAAATTAAGAGGACATGATCTTCGCACCAGGCCGGCTTCCCCTCGATTGAAGAGGCTGTCCCAGGGCCAGGGGCGTTTGGCCTTCTAAGCCCACGTGCGGCGCAGTCCAGGTGGCCGGCTCCAGGAGCCTCTGGGAGAACAGACGACCCAAAACAGGAGCCAGCAAATGGCCTCCAACCAGAAACTCCCAGCGTTTTAAGTCACTGAGCTCCCTCAACCTGTGTCTTGCCTCCTCACTTGCTGGCTCCTGCCCGCCCAGCAGGGAGCGCTCCCATCCCCGAAGGAGGTGGCACAGCCTGGCGTGCGAGGGAGACCAGCTGGACGTCATGACTCCGGTATATGCCTGCCTCTTCCCTGCCACATGCCTCCCCAAGCACACTGTTTTTCTTTCTCTGTTTTTTCTCTTTTTCCCCAGAGAAAATCAGGTACATTTGCTACGCTCAGAAGTCTAAGACTTGTGAAACTGCCTGGTCTTTAATCATTCCATAATGGCACAGGGACCAATCAGTCTTGATATTTGGACCAGCGGCTTAGCAAGCCATCGTGAACTCAGCCAGAGCCTGCCTCTGGAACGGTGGGCCTGGCCTGTGCTGGGCACAACAGCGGCAGGGAAGTTTCTGTCGTCAGGGAGCAGACAGCCTCGTGAAAGTTACCACAGGCAGCCCTCATGGCGAGTAAAAGCCGGGCAGCACATGTTCCACCGGGGTCGCCTGGCTGCAGGGTTCAGGGCATGCGGTGGCAACAAAACCAAGAATCTGAACTGGTCCGCTTGCTGACGGGCCTTGCCATGTGCTCAGGCCAGCTGTGCACGTGAAACCATTTAAAGGCCCCGGGGCCCCAGGGCCCCAGGGAAGAAGTCGGGCTGCCTCACTCTTCCGCGTCTCAACACGGGATGACGACCTAGGGCTTCTGGTGACAGAGTGTGCAGCTCTAAAGCACATGTGCCAGCTTTCTTGCGTGTGTAGCCTAGGTTTCTGAGTGCATTGCTGTTTACCCCTTGAATCATGTGTACAACACTCTGCCTTGAAACTGCACTTGTATTATCCCTTTTTTCTGTTACCACCCATTTCATGTTAGCTGTGTTGTTAGCATAGAATTAAAATAAATGTGGGTCATTTTAGCTGCATGTGAAGTGGTACCTGGTCCATTTTGTGGTCTTTTGACACGCTGCTTTTATACTTTGTATCATTGTCTAAGTCGTTGATATTTAAAATTCTTGGACAATTTCTCTGTGGTTTCATGCTTGATTTCTTTCCGAGTATTTGTGAAAGAGCAGTCCTGAATATTTTTTCCTTGTGGAGTTTTCTGACGGTGTGTCTGCTTTCATCATTGGTTTTGATTTCCTGACTCATCCTGTTGTCTGTTTAGCCGTCATCAATCCAGACCCCAGCCTCCCATCCCTCCCAACGGAGGCTGTAGTTCACACATCCATTTCCCCTCCCCCATCCTCCCACTTGCTCTGGTCATATCAGTGCTGTGTCCTGTTAGTCTGGTTTGTGGTTTGTCTTCGTGTCTCATTAGATGGTGTTTTTCCTGCATAGCAGTAAGTTAGAGTGAGTGTATCACTGTACAGTTAGAAGCATTGTGTAGGTGGATCATCCACTACATAACCTGTGTAATCATAAGTGAGATTATGCTTACATGGAGAAATGATCCTCTAAATGTATAATTAATGGTCTTTTGACCCAATATCCTTTCTGTGTTGATGCTTGGAGTTTAGACGGTAAATCTCATCAGCTTTTGCATGTTTAATGTCTCTACTAGACTCTTTTACAAAGTATCATTTATGGTTCATAAGATGTGAAGATTCCACTTGCTATTATGCTAGCTTTCCTTACAAATTTTCGTGGGATACCTGCTTTAATGGATTTATTCTGAAAAGTTTTATATCAAATTCTAGGTAAGGATTTTACATTAATGTCCAATAGTTGGTTAGATTTGTTCAGGTTTAAAATAGGTATTATGGTAACTTCCTAATCAGTGAAATTACTCCTTTAAAGTATAACGTGTTTTCTATTAAGAGAAACTAAGTTATAGCGAATTGTGGCTGAGAACAGACAACTCTTAAGACCCTTTGTTGAACAGAATGCTCTGCTTTAATAAATCATGATATTGTAATAGAATGGTATCTTCCTGAGTTATAATTTATAGTGTTTCTCTAGTAAACCTTGAATAGCTTATTTCACTTCTGTGGTTAAAAAATATGTTCTGTTTCCAGTTACATGTTCTCTTAAGTCTTCATCTCACATATGTTTGCCTTCATGTTTGCTTTAGTGTATTTGCCTGTAACAATTCTTGCACTTTTAGTATCAAAGTTGCAATCCATCTGGTTTCTGTTCATTTCTTTGCATGCACCTTTCAGCCTGGTGATTTAAGGAAGCATCGTCGAAAGGTTAACTATTTAATAATATAGCATGCCTTTGTTTCTCTGTGAAGTATTAAAGAGTCCTTATCGTGTTACATGAATGAACACTATGTGGTTATGTACTGGTGAATAATTGACACTAATGGAAGTTTTGAAACTCATCCACCAGTTGAAATATGCTGATGGTTCTCTTGGTAATAGGTCATTCGGGGACACTTGTAACAGTTTGCCTTTCTCCCACTTGTTTACCTTCTAATCAACTCATGCTTATTTATAATAGACAAAGGATTATTTTTAAAATTTTCTTTAGTTATTTTTTTTGCCATGCTGCACAGCTTATGGGATCTTAATTCCCCAACCAGGGACCAGACTGGTGTCCCGGCAGTGAGAGTGCCAAGTCCTAACGTCTGGACCACAGTGGAATTTCCACTCAGTGTGGAAATTTCCATTCAAAGAAACGGCTGAATCCGAGCCATAGGCGGTAGCTTTGCGGGATGCCAGTCTAATGACGGGGGTAGCAGTGTGCAGGAGCCTCTGTGCACCAGGCAGCTTGTCGAGTGCTTTCCGAGCCTGTCATCTCATCTGGCAGACACCCAGGTGAGGTCCCGGCTGCTGTCATCCCCATTCAGCAGATGTGGACACTGAGGCTTAGAGAGGCCGGGCCCTGTGCCCAGGCTCGCACAGCCAGCAGTGTGGTGCGGACTGGTCTGATGAGAGCCTGGACACTTAACCCTGCTGCCGTCCAGCCCGCTTTCCTCCAGAGGCCCTCGTGTCCCTCACGGCATCCCTGATGGAGGGAGCATCAGGAGGGAGCTCGCTGCCTCTCCCCTCGGGTCCCTTGGATGAGCCCCTGTTGTTGAGTCCAGTGCCCCGAAGGCTGGCCGTCCTTGTCCCTCTCCCACTCCCAGCCCACTGACCGACCACTCCTGGGACCTTCCCGCAGGACTCGGGCAGCCGCGCTCCAGTTCAGGCAGCTCAGTGCCCGGGAGCCCTTCTGCTGGGCACTGCGGAGCAGCACTGTGCCCTGGGGCTGGTGACCTGGGTGTGCTGCTCACCAGCTCTGTGGCCTGCTGTGCCCTCCTGTTATGTGAGGACACAGTCCTGCCCATCCTAGTCACATGGGCACCAGGGTGGCGGGCTTCCCTCCTGGGGGCGGGCGGCCAGGCTGGGGACCCAGAGGCCTTCCTCAGGAGGAGGCCCGGGGAAGGAAGGGGCTGGCTGCGGTCCCTGACTTTGAGGCAGGTGTTTGTCTCCCCTGAGTCCACGGTCAGCCCAGGCGTGTCATTTCCCACTCTGTTTTTGTTGTTTTCTGATTTTTATAAAGGCTTATTGTAACTTGAATTTGAGACTGATCCCTGTTCAGTTCCGTGGGGATCATTTCCAGCCTCTGTAGCCTTCTGTTGTCTGAGGGTTCTTGTTGGAGATCAGGGGAGGGTGCATAGTTTATCCAGCTGCTGTTAAACGGGCTCAGCTGTATTTTGCACTAAGTCACTTTGTTGTCACCAAGCTCCTGTGGGGCTGCAGTGGATCAGTATTCTTTAGAGAATCCCACTAAAAAGGCACAGGTTAGTTGGTTAAAACAACACACTCATTGTTTACAAAAATACTTGCCATGCATGTTTCCTGAAACTTCCCCAGGCTTAACCACACACCCAAATGTACTAGTGAGACCTGTCTGGACCCTGAAGGGGTTAATCTGTTCCCCACACTGTTACCACCACTGTCTCTCCTGTCCTCACACCCAGGACCAGCGGAAAAGCTGGGACTCCAGGAGAAACATGTTTTTTTTTTTTTCAATTGGTTTATGTTTTAATTGAAGGATAATTGCTTTACAGAATTGTGTTCTTTTCTGGCAAACCTCAGCATGACTCAGCCGTAGGTATACATATACCCCTTCCCTTTTGAATCTCCCTCCCCATCCCACCCCTCTAGTCTCATACAAGGTCATCTCTTAGTGAAGACCTAGGGGTGCTTTATGTAAACCACAGTGAGCAAAGTACACTCGGACTGCGAGGGAGCACTTCAGCGTGTAGCCCCCAGTCTGTCCGTTACTGAGAAATATGAGCCAGTCACGTGGTGTTCGCATGCCGGGTTAGGTACCTTTTCTGTCTTTCCCTTGTTGTCCTGGGTTCCAGTAGGCTGCATCATGACAACAAATGATCTTGGGTGGTGGCACAAGCTGTGCCCTTTTTTTCTTCAAACAGAGAGGTCTGGACGGCTTTGCTGAGAGGTTTCTTCCTCTTGCTAGTGGAAGCAGCATCTGGCGATGAGCAGAGTCCTTTCTTCAGGGCAGTTCATGCCATGCAGGGTTCACGGTGCTGGCGTCACTCTGCTCTCCTGCCCGGCGGGGCCATCTGGTCGCTGGATTCCAGGGAGGGCGGAGCCCGGCTTCAGGGAGGCTCCCGTCCAGGGTGTCTGCACTCAGTCAGGTGCTCTCGCTGCCCCATGCCCCGCTTCTCTTGAACAAGACAGTCCTGTAAGATGGCACTAAGCTGGAACAAGGGTTTTTTGTTTTTGTTTTTGTTTTTTGCTACTTGGAGGAAAGCATAGCAAATAGATTTACAAATAAGTTTCTGGTTATAATGTAAAGCCTGTGAGGTTGCCTTTTTCAACACAGTCTATCATTAGCCAGTTTTACACTGCCATTTTACACCTGTCTCACTCAGCTGCCAGCTTTAATGGAAGAGGTAGAAGATGACAAGACTGCCATCCAATGTGAAGCCTCGAGCCCTGCCTCGCCGCAGTCCCTTTGGCTGGACCGGCTGCACACGGGGGTGCTGCGCGCAGCCAGCCCAGAGGACGTCAGGGACACCTGCAAGTAAGGGGTCTGCGCGCCTCGTCGTCAGTTTCAGGAGCCCTGCACCTGTTCTCTTGAAAGAGTTAGAAGGATGATTTTAAAGGAATCCCACTGGGTTCGGTGCCTGTGTTTAGTGGTGAACTTCAGGTGCTGGGGGAGAAGAGCTCAGTGGCCTCACTGATTTTAGAAAACGTCCATCTCTACGGATTGACCCCGCTGTGGGAGCTTTCTTCCTGCTCTTGCTAGAGGTCTGCCCCGCCCAGGGCGCGTTCCCGAGGGTGATGGCCCCGTGCCTCTCGTGTTCCCTCTTGAGGGTCCCTCCCTTTTCCTCAAGGGTCTCCTCTCAGGAGACTCCATCCCCTCCTGTGACTGACACTGTCCTCATTCAGACCACCGCCTGCTGAGCTCCCGTCCTCAGCCAGGCAGCACTCGATGGAGGGCACGTGTGGTCTCCTGTGCAGCAGCTCTCCTGCCACGGCCGGGGACGGCCACCCTGCAGAGGTGGGGTGGAGCTGCCCGGAGCGGGGGAGCTTGCCTTCTCTGGGAGCCTCGTCACCTGCCAAGCGGCGAACCTGAGGGAGGGTCGGAGCACCCTCTGCACCAGCTGGCCTGGAGTCAAGCCCTCCCCGGGGTGGGGGGGGGGCTCCAGTCGGAGACTCTCAGCTTCCTGGGGCGGATGTCTGTGGCCGGGAGCCTGCATTGCTTGTGTGGAGTGTGGTTGGTGAAGCAGCCTCCACTGTGTGCTTGAGGTTGAGGCGCGGGTGTTGCTGGGTGGCCGGTTCTAACAGTAGATCTTGAGGAGGGGTGTGTGTTTGCACGAGGCCGCTGGTTAAAGGTCCTTCTCGCTCCCCGAATCTCGACCGGCTCTCAGGACGGCCCCGGGGGCAACCCCAGCAGCAGCACCATCAGCCAGGACTCGCTGCACAAAGCCCCGAAGAAGGGCATCAAGTCGTGCATCGGCCGCTTGTTTGGAAAGAAGGAAAAGGGCCAGCCTGGACACCCGGCAAGGAGGCCTTAGGACCAGGTGGGTGCTTCCCCGTTGAGAGGGAAGAGAACCTGCAGGCTTGTCCCTTCTGTGTCTCCCCCCCTGCCCCACGAGGCTCCTGTCACTCACACTCGGGGTCCTCCTGGGAGCAAGAGTGGAGGAGGCATCCGTCTTCTTGGTGGGTCCAAGATGATCTGATGAGTTAATGAGTGGATGTGTGGATGAATTATGTCTAGAGGGATGGATGGATGGATTATTGAGTGGATGGATGGATGGATTAGTGAGTGGATGGATGGATGAACAGATGACTGGCTTGATGGGTCGACAGAATTAGTGAGTGGGTGGAATATGGACTAGTGAGTGTATGGATGGTTGAAGAGATGGCTGGCTCGATGGGTGGATGAACGAAGCATGGAATGAATAAAGCAGATGTTTATACTCCAACGTTAGAAACATATTCTATGAAGTTGATTGAGTAGGAGCTGGGCAATGATTTACTCCTCCAGAACACTGACAAGTGTTTGGAAACGGCCTAAGTGCTCATCAGTGAGGGGTGAGGTCCAATCTGTGCACATCCCACGAGGAGCAGCCCTCCTCCTCCTTCCTGCCACCTTCCTCGTCCCCAGGAGCTCCTCAGGGGTTCTGCCCACGACCCCCACAGTCACACAGGTCCTCCTGGGGTCTCCTCATCACCCAGCATGAGCATCAGGCCCCCATCTCTCTCGACTTCACCTCCTTGAGGACAGGGTATGTTCCTGCCTCTTCAGCCAGATATTTGTACAGTATCTTGTTTGTGCTGGGTGTGGGATATACACCCAGGGGTAAGTAAAACAGATGTGGTCTGGACCACAGTTAAGACACACGAGAGAAAAAGGAGCAGCTTATTAAATGCTGTCCCTATTATTAGTAAAGACAACGCTGAGATGGATGGTGCATTGATTATATACCAGATGCTGGGTGTGCCCCTTCCCAAGCAGGGGCTGCCACCTCCCGATTTACAGAGGAGGACACAGTGATGGTCACGCGGTCAGGGAGTGGTGAGGGCAGGTGCACACCCACGCAGTGGGACCATGCACTTTGCCGAGCCCCAGCCACCGCTCTGGTGGATGCAACAGGAATGAGATGGTTCTATGGCATCACTGACTCAATGGCCTTGAGTTTGAGCAAACTCCAGGAGATACTGAAGGACAGGAAAGCCTGGAGTGCTGCAGTCCACAGAGTGGCAAAGAGTTGGACACAACTGAGCGACTGAACTAAAGCCTGAGTGTGTGCTAAACTGCTTCGGTCGTGTCTGACTCATTGCGACCCCAGGGAGTGTAGGCCGCTAGCTCCTCTGTCCATGGGATTCTCCAGGCAAGAATACTGGAGTGGGCTGCCATGCCCTCCTCCAGGGCATCTTCTCGACCCAGGGATCAAACCCACATCTCGTTATCTCTCACATTGGCAGGCAAGATCTCTACAGCTCGCGCCACCTGGAAAGGCCCCGTGAACGCTGACAACTAGGAAATGCAGAAAAGAAGGGCTGCTCCTAAGTTAAACTGGAAGAGCCGCAAGCACAGGTTGTAAGGAGGAAACCACACGACGAGTGGCGACAGTGCGGACAGAAACAAGCAGGGACACCTTCACCCACATAAAACAAGTGTGCCGTTCAGAAGAGGAGCCCGTCAGCCCTTGGAGGGACAGTTGGAACCAGAATGAAAACCGAGGCCATGGTCAGCAGTGCCCATGCACACGGCCTGAGTAGCGTGGTGTCGCTCACCGGGCTTCCTGCGTCCCCAGAGCTGCTGCCGGCGGTAACATCTCTGAGTGCTAGGCCGGCAGCATCCCCGAGTGAGCTGAGGCATCGCTGCTGTCCTTGCAGTGCTGCTGCGGGGCCCTCTGTGGGCGGCGACCCTCGTCCCCTGCCCCGCCACCCACTGGGGCCCGGCTGTACCCCTGGGATCCTTTCAGCCCCTCAGCGTGGGTGCTCCCAGCCCTCTGCCTCGCCGCACTGGGAGGCAACTCAGAACTTGGGCTTGAGATATCAAGGCGACCGTGAATCTGGAAGGACACTGCCCTGGGGCCTGTGAGAGAGCAGGAGAGCAGAGCCCCCATGGGGAGGAAGCACAGCTGGGGAGCGTGCCCACAGCATGGCTGCCTCCTCCACAAGTGCCCCTCCACCTCTCCTTGACCTGAAACAGACCCCAGCTGCTGCTGCTCTGCAGGTGATTCCTACAGATGCACCTCCTGCACGAGCTGTTGTCATGCTGCTCAGGGGCTGCCTGAGTGTGCTCAGGAGCATCAGACAAGTGGGGCTGCCATGCCTGATGCTGGGGGAGGGCCTGACACTGGGGGTGGGTCTGATGCTGGACTAGGGCCGGATGTTGAGGGGGTACGTCTGATGCGTCTTGTGCTAGTCTAGGATCAGAAGCTCGGGGAAGAGCCTGTTGCTGGCCGAGTGTCTGATGCTGGACTAGGGCCTTATGCTGGGGGGGGGTCTTCTGATGCTGGACTAGGGTCTGAGGCTGGGGGAATGTCTGATGCTAGACTAAGGTCTGATGCTAGGGGAGGGCCTGTTGCTGGGCGAGTGTCTGATGTTGTAGTATGGTCTGATGCTGGGGGAGGGCCTGATGCTGGGGAGGAATGTCTGATGCTGTGGGCCGGTCTGATGATGGTGGGCAGCCTGCACCCAGATGTACACAGAGTTGTGATTGTAAATCTCCATGAGAAAAAAAAATCTCTATGAGAAATCTTTTTTTCATACGTTCCTGACCACCTTTGTATGTTCTTTCTTTCTGAAGCATAATTGCTGTGCAATATCGGTTTGATTTCTGCCGTAAATCAACATGAATTAGCCATAGGTGTACGTATGTCCCGTCCCTCGTGAATCTCCCTGCCACCTCCCCTTGCTACATTCTTGTTTCTATGGGTATATGAATAATAAAGACTGTTGACTAAATTAACATAAACAGCTCCCATACACAAGCATGCACATGCACACTCTCTAGTGCATTCCCCTGGCCACCCCGCCCGGGCACCCTCGGTGAGCCTTGACACCTGCACTCTCTTGCCACCCTCGGCCCACTGCCCTCGCCTCTGCAGCAGAGGGGTCCTGTCCCCGAAGATGCTGAAGTGATGGAGCCTCTTGTCTCTGGATCCAAAGGCATGAACACCCCATCGGTCATCCTTTGGGGACACCTATAGTTCCCCCTTCTAGCCTTTCCATTCTCTCCATGCGTTTCTCTTACCAGAGGGCCCATGTGATGACACGGGCTCCCATTACCAGCTCGGGCCTGTTCTCAGTGAGAGTCCAGCTTACCCTCGGCACTCTTAAGTGGCAGTGGGACATTTGGCTTCAGTACTTTATTGAAAGAAAGCAATAAATAATACTGTGATAAAAATTGTTCAAAAGTAAACTGTACGTACTTTCTCACATATTCAGGAAGTTCACAAAAGATTAATAGAAAAACAGAATGGTAACAGTGAACTGTACAGGTAAGTTAAAGGCGCTACCCACATGTAAAGAGACATGCCGTCTCTGTCTACCAAGATATCAGCGGCATAATAAACAACACACCGTGATCTGAACGCATCTCTTGCTGGCTTTTTTAATGTGCCACTGAACAAGTAAAAGTTACATTTGCTACCTATACAATCCAGAATGGCTATGTCATCAAAATCTAAAAATGTATGCCTAGATCCATTCTTTTAACAAGTTTACAAACAGATGTAAAAAGATGATTTACAGAAGAAAAATAAGGCCTTCGTCAGAGCTGCACTACGCTGTCTGTCTGTCAGGGATGTGGCTCCTTCACCGTCCAGTGCATCAGCTCTGCAGCGGGCGCAGGGCATCGTGATTGGTCCCCGAAAAGTCTCAGTGGAGAGGAGGGATCCGGGTCCATAGAGACCAGGTTATGGGAGAGATTGTCATAGGCTTCTAGTCATGCTTTCAGCCCAGATTTCAGTAGAAGCTCACATTCAGCACCCATACTTTTACGTCACTTCACGCTGCAGGCAAAAAGCATTTCTTGCTGGAAAAAGTACAGTTTAAGTCAGTCGTTAAAATGCGACAATTGGTTGAAATTAAGTTTGCTCATTTCAGAGTGATTGTTGGAGAGCTTGGTTAACATTCTGGAAGGATAATGCACACCGTGTCATGATGGTTTTACAATCGCAGGAAAACCCCTTCTCTCGTGGTTTCTCATTTAAAAATTAAAGAACGATAATGACAATAAATGCATCATTTACAAAAGCCCTATGTTTGTTCATAGGCTTTATACAGGCAAGCAGTACAGTACATTCATTTGAAAGACTAAAATCATTTATCAGAACATGAATTGATCTGAAAGTATATTCATAGCCTGAATATACAAGAATAAGCATATAAATGAAGTCATAAGTTTACATAAATATAAGAAACATTAAATTCTAAAATATTTTCTCTATGGTAGGCATGAATTTTTCACTAATGAAAAACCCTGTAATAAAATATCTTCAGGTCCATATAACAAGTAGTAACAGATTAAATTAAAGATTGCACTGCCATGGTGGGAGGGACACCCATGTGCAGGGACGCGAGGGAGCCTCGGGCCGTGGTCTGACAACTCCGGTGGCAGCCGGGCGCCAAGGTCACGTTCTCTGCCGCTGAGGGCTCTCCAGGGCCGACCTCCGGAGACCCGCTGACCCTCCACTCCCAGGGCGTGGCCTCCATGCCCCCTCGGGACCAGGCTGGCCCCCGAAGCTCAGCAGAAGTGAGTCCTGACTGTAGCGGAGTCCAGCCTCTGCATTCTGCCATGCTGCCAGGTCCCAGGAGTGCCACCACCACCATTCTGCTGATACAGGAGAGTAACAGTTTATGTGGAAGACCATCTGGGTTTTCTTGTGAATAAGGCAGAGGTATTTTAGTGGTATCAAGTATTGATGGTTGCAGGTACCTGCTAAGGGCTTTAGCTACTACCAGAGTGAGGTCCTGACAGGTAATTATTCATGAACAGGAATAGCATATGATGGTTTTAACATTCTTCTTGACGGATGCATCATCCACCCTTCCCCTC